AGATAGCCATGCTTGATAGCTTGATGGCTTGATGTTCTCAAGTTTCAAACAACCCGATCTAAAATTCTGTGCCGACAAAAGCCAATTCCATGCTGGAAAACTTTTGGCCCGCTTTAAAGGATATGTTTAACAGTTTTCTACTGAAAAAAAAGGAAACGATTTCCAGCTATATCTTTAATGCTTAATTCCTGATTAGATAACCTTTCCTCAAAGAGGAGGAGAAAAAGGAGAACTTCAGAGTGCTTCCCAATGGGAACTCCTCAATCTTGACGTCGACACCATTCTAAGAATGCCAAAAGACGTGGAAGATTTAACTGGTCTCCAGCATCAAGACTTCATGGGCGTCATGGGCCAGTATCTCTATGAATCTGTTGGAGCGCAAGAGTTTGCTCGCCGCCACATGTTGACACAGAGTCCTTGTGTGATTGTACCAAGCACAGCACACATATCCCTTACCAAAGCAGTTACAATTCTAGGACTGGGACGAGAGAGCCTCGTCACTGTGGCAGTTGACGAAGATGCTCGGATGGAACCAAAGGGTTTGTTCATTATGATGCTCGATATAACTTTGAGGTTTGAGTGTAAGAGAACGACAAAGTAGACAAGGTAAAGAAAAACTGAGCACGAAAACCTACTTGGCTTAACTTTCACTGTTTGCGCTACAAAAGTCTAAAGCCGTGCTTATTAATATTTGATCCAAAACCCTTTCTGGAAGAGGAAGGAAGGTAGGCCGATATACCCAATCCGGCTACTTTGAACTGTTTCACTGACGTCCACGACTTAAAATTTACTTATAGCATTCGAATGAATCTCACCTTGCACGTGCTGTCTTTTTTCAGATCTGGAAAGAGTTTTGCAGGAAAAACTAAAAAACGAGATTCCGGTGATTACAGTTGTGTCTGTTATGGGTACAACAGAAGAGAGCGCGGTGGATCCACTCACAGCGATTTTGGAACTTCGAGAAAAGTTTAGAGCTAAGGTACATCTAACTGAACAGAATGAACCTTTTCTGTAGTAGAACCCCGCTAAATCAAATTCAAACTCCCAGGGGAAACAAAAAAGAGTTCGATTTGCCTGAATAAGTAGTAAATAACTGAAAACGGGGTTTCTGTGCAAGTAACCGGGGTTCTACTGTAGTTCTGCCCATATTTTGAGCCTGAAACTGGAGCCTTTCTCAAATTTAAACATGATTGAACGACTTTTTTTAAATTCGGAATTACGTAAGTGCAGTTTTGGAGCAGGTTGGCTTGGGATAATGCTGTCGTCGGGCCAAGGACTCCAAAGGAGCGGATCATGTTTGTTCTTGCTTAAACGTACTTCAAATGACTAACTTACGAATTTCTTCGCACTTAAAACCGCTCTTAGGTCAGGTTGCAATTATGTTTTTTCTTCGGCCTCACGTATCCCTACTTCTTCTTAAAATCTAAGACGAAAGGTTAAACCTCGATGTTATCTCACATTACAATCACGATGCTGGGGCGCCAAGCTATTTCATTCACTCTTCTTTATCGTCATACAGGGCCTTTGCTTCAGCTTGCACGCGGACGGGGCTTGGGGAGGATACTTCTGTAGCATGTTACGAGATCCTAAGAGTAAACTTGTAGCCGCTGGTAGCGAGGGATTTGTTCCCGAGTTGTGGCTGAGTCCATATGTTAAAGAGCAGTTGTCAGCCATGGACCAGTGCGATACCATCACTATTGACCCACACAAATCTGGCTTCTGTCCTTACCCCGCTGGAGCATTATGCTACAGAGACAAGTTGATGAACACCTTTCTTCAGATCACCACCACTGTTGTGTATTATCATGGAGACATGACACTTGGAGACATCGGCATCGAAGGATCCAAACCAGGAGCTGCTGCCGCTGGGGTCATGTTGGCAAACAGGGTGAGAGTTCA